CTCTCTCTCTCTCTCTCTCCCTCTCACCGTAGCGGTATCTTCAGCGCAGCAGGTACGTGTAACCCAACCTTGTATCTCTCATCTCTTTCTCTCTCTCTCTCTCTCTCTCTCTCTCTCTCTCTCTCTCTCTCTCTCTCTCTCTTTTTCTTCGTCGTGGTCTTCTCTGCAGGTGCGCGCGGCGGCTTCTTCAACCTCCGGGTCCGCTATGGCGGACTTCTTCTCTTGATGGCCACTTCAGCTATGGCGCGTAGCTCCCTGCGGCACACGACGTCGCGCGTGGAATAGCGGGTACCAGCTCCGATACCAATGCAATCAGACTCGCTTTCATTCACACTTCTCATGCATGCAAACAGGTGCGCAGCAAACTGGCGACAAGCGCCCACTCAGAACTCAGAGATATGGTAACCGAGTACACAGTTCATATACAAGTTCACTTCAATGATATGGCGACTCAGCGCCCACACAACTCACTGTTCGCACACACAGGATCACCCTGGATATCCCACACACGGTACTCTGAACACACACCCACTCACACGCTAAACTCTAGCTACAGCTATGGCGGCTATGGCCGCTGCTACCCTATCGCTATGGCTAGGCTTCTTCTCTCTCGCCCACGTCCTCGGGCTCACTGCAGACCACCTCGCACAATTCGCTTGTGGCAGCGCTTCCGCATGGCTCACGCAGGAATGAATGAATGGCTGGGCGCTGCCTCTTGATTTATACTTCTGCAGCTCGTTGGTCTGGCCCCTTTCCCATGCCCGTAGTGCACACAGTCCCATGCGGTACTTGCTTGACTGGACCAGGACTGACTAGGACTGGGACTGCTGACTCAGCACGGGTAGACTCCACCACTTGCCTCACCACTTGCCCACTTCCCCCAGCCTAAACGTGGGCAACTTCGAAAGGCCACTACTCGGACCTTCCGGAAGGCCGTAGACTTGGCCTTTCAATACTGTAGCAGCCACGACCTTGACCTTTCTGGACTGCAGCAGCTACGACCTTGACCCTTCGAGAAAGCTACAGCTACGACTTCTAGACCTGACTGAGACTCCTACTCGACAGGTCTACAGATCGAACCCCTGCTACCTATGGACCCTACGACAACCTACCAACTGTTACAAATACCCAGGTCACGGGTTCAACTCTAGGGGTCGACACAGATATTGTACACAGGTAAGGTGGGGACTAGGGATCGAGCCCTGGGATCTGCATCGGCTACTGCGAACTGGTGAATACCGTTTCATAAGTTGAGATATGTGTCAAACTGTCCCTGAAAGATCTCGGCACAGTGGAATGGCCTTTTGGGCCGACATCTTTGTGTTATGCCCCTGTCAGGCGGGTGTGCAAATTCGCAATCTCAGCCTCCCCGTTTGGGCCTTGGCCTTTCGCAATTGCACCTACGAGAAGTTGGCAACTACCGTGGCATTTTGCAAAGTTCGACAGTGTCCAGTAGGGGTACAGTGCAAAGATGGTGTCCAACCAATGTCTGGGGTGTTTCACGAAATGTTTTTGCCATCGTCCTTCGCCGCAGCTTAGCAGTGGCAGGTCCACTTTGTTATTAGAAAAAGAAAGAAGAAGGGGGGGGGCGCGGGGGAATTCTAGACGTCAAGGGAGATGCTAACAATACCACGTGTACATGGTTGATGTTCCTCTGTATCTCTGCACTTATCCAGTCTTCCAGGCTTCGAAGTTGTTGCCTTCTAATTTGAGGCAATCAATGATTCCACCTAATATGGATAATAGATATGATGTTGACTGCATTGTCGATCAAGCTTAACTTAGAACCAATAGGCGAGGGAGACCAAGCAACAGATTAGAGTGAGATGGCAATATCGACCTGGAGGAGGATAGGTGGATCCCCAAAGAGCAACTGTGGGAGACCACACCTCGCGTAGTCTCGTATTATGAGCAAGCACGCAGGGGGATTCATGAGTTTGACCGATAGCTAATCTTGATGCTGTCATCGTCATTTCAACTTGATGAACCATTTCTTAAGCAAAGTCTTGATAAGCATCTCAGCTGCTGGTTAACGAGAGTAGCTTATGGCAAACTACCGCTGCCAAATTCCTATAGTGGGCATTGCTGCTTCCACAACGCGGCTTCACCTAACTCAAATAGTACTTCTCGGACGACTTCGAATTTCGGGCGGCGGGGAAAAGGATTCATTTGCTGCTGCAGTACGGCCATAGTACCATGTCCCATTTTCCTTGTACCGTAGGGTCAAAGTAGAACTTTCTGGTAAGTACTGTAAGAACAAAATGGAGATCTGATAGGATACGACCGGTAGAAACAGTAGAGGGTCCAAGAAGTCGGCAGGTAGGGAGTCGCCATGTGTCCAATCTCAGTCCCATCTCAGTCCCATTGCAGCTCCGTCCCAAGGAAAGGCCATGACAGACTGAATCTTTGTTTGTTGGGGCAACGCCTGGAAGGAAAGTCTTGAATCACGAGGGAGGCAGAGGCACAGGCATAAAAGGAAGGCCAACGTCAGGAACCTCCTTGTCTTCGATTCTGGCATTTGTTGAAGCGCTGATGCACGGGTTGGGCATCAAGATCTTGGAGTGAACAGTGTGGGGCGATAGAGAGAAGTAGTCGATGGTGCTCGGCACCATAGCTAGGAGCTTGCATGGAGGAGAGAGATAGGAAGAGCAGCTAGGACGTTCAGAGAATGAACAGAGAACCCGGGCGAAATAGTTAGTAGTAGTAGTAGTCATAGTAGGGAGAGAGAGAGAGAGAGAGAGAGAGAGAGAGAGAGAGAGAGAGTTCCTCTCATGGTTTTGCTGGCGGCCATGGTCGTGATCTTGAAGAACTTGTGTATATCATTTCAAGTTGTAATTAAGTTTTGTGTGTGCTCACATCATGTGGATCTTGCGGTTGCAACTTCGTTCTTGATCCGGATTAGCGAGATCTTTGCACAAGTTTCATTTTCTAGGTCATCGTTAGATGAAATGTATTGGATATCTCACAAAATTCTATTCAAGACAGCACCCGTTGTAGTTAATGCGTATGAACTATTATGAAGTATTATGAACGCCATACTGGTTCTGATCAGACACCAGTGTTCACTGATTGTCTCACCACTTTTGAGCACACGGCAGCGCTCTTTGCATTCACAGCCCACGAAGCATTTTGTGGGAACTCTGATGAGGTTACTCGCTCAAAGGGACCTCACTCTTGAGGAGGAGGGGGGGGGAAGGGAATGTAATTACCTGCAAAATCACAGACTGAGAACTCTGCTATTCTCTGAGTTTTGTTGCTGGACTGAGTGACTTGCTGGCATTCCCGTATTCTGCTGAGATTTCTAAGTACGTGTGTGTGCATGATTGCTGAGTTTCCGCGTGTTTGGCTCACTGCATGATTGCTTGGGTGTGTGTGTGACCCGCCAGGGTACTTCTGTGCTGAGAAGGGCCTCACGCCTGGTACCTACCTGTGGCCGTGCTGTTGTGACGGCGCAGCGGTATTTAGAAGTAGGCTAAGCCCACGCAGGTTGGAAAATACTCAAGTAGCGTGTTGGTAGGCGGACAAAGAAAAAAACTAGTACCTTTATAGGCAGTTGTGAATTTAGTGTCCAGTAAGCTTGGAAAGGAAGGTACTGGTCCAAGTAGCCTAAGTCTAGACACTGCAGGAGGGGATATGAGACTGCAATGATAAAACGGGGAAGGTACCGGTAGTGTGGCCTGGAAAGTTAAAGTCACTGGTCACTGCCCGAAGAGGCAGTAGTCCTATATATCTTGAGAGAGAGCAAAGAGCTCTTCCTCGTTTGCAGCGGGCAAGTTTGGCAACCGGCTGCTGGAGCGAGCGCTCAACCAAGGGGTTATGGGGAGGAAGAAGGCTGGCTTGGCACTCCACCTTGGCCATGGTGGAGAGGACCAAGGACTCAAGGAGGAGACTCCCAAGAGGTAGGAGTAGGAGGAGGAAGACAGTCAGAAGGGAGGAGACTTGTGCTTATCTGGCTATGGTGATCTGCATTTTCATCTTCTTGGTTGGCCCTGCACCTGGAAGGCCCCAGTTGGGGTTGGCTTCTACAAGGAAGACTTTTGGGGTAGTGATAGGCATGGCGGCCATAGTAGGAGGGAGTCGAGGGACACATTAGCTTTGTGTTGTCATTTGAACACCGAAGCTCTGCTCCGTTAGTCTGCCATAGCCACCTACTTGACTGAGTGTAGGAGATGGCTATGGTGGACCTCTTAAGTGCCTGGCAGTAAGGAGAGGATTATGGTTCATTCATTCATTGCTATTATTATTATTATAACAAGTGGACACGCCGCAGCAAAACTGCGGCACAGAAGAGGGGCGCGACGAGAGGCAGGCAAGGAGGGCAGCAAGCAAAGATGCAGATGAAGGCCGCAGAAAAAAAAAAAAAAAAACGGTAGCGAGGCTATTGGGAGGGAATTTCTAAAATCAAAATTGGAGGAAATTTGGAGAGAGGACCACCAGATCCGGAAAAACAAACATCGGAAGGGGCGAAATTAAAAAAGGCCAGGGTTTCACGGAAGGGGAAAAAAAAAAAAAAGGCCAGGCTAACAGGGTTCATGCCGGGATCCCACACTGCAACTGAACGTCGACTTTACACTCCTCCTCCTCCTCCTCCTCCTCTCCCCCCCCCCTCCTCCTCCACTTTCTCACCTTTACCGTCTCTCCCAAAAGCGAAGTTCAATCAGTCGACGAAACATAAATGGAGTTCAATGGATGAGACGTTGTAAAACCACCTGGGCACTGGGGGGGAGGGGAAGGGGGCAGAGGAGGAGGAGGTTGAAAAGGACAATGAGAGGAGAGGGGGTGGAAATTTATGATCAAGATAACGATGATGATGATCAGGCATAAGAGAGGAGCGGAAAGCGGAGAAGAGGAGGATGGAGGCAGGAATAGGCCGGAGCAAGGAGTAGCGGGAAGAGCAGCGGGAGTGGCCAGGACGATGAGGAGGAGACGGAGGCGAAGAGAGGAGCGGGAATGGCAAGAGGAGCGGGAGAGGGAGGAAGAGGACGAYGAGGAGGASGAGGTGAGGAAGCGGATARMGCGGAGGAAGTGGAGGAKGAGGAGGAGGAGGATGGAGGGAAGAGAAGATAGCAGCAAGCAGCAGAGGAGGAGCGGGACGAGGAGGAGAGGGAGTGGTCGTGGCAATGTCGGTCTGCGTGTGTGTGTGTGTGTGTAGGATGAGCAAAATCAGAATGAACGCGCGCGCGCGCGCGAGAGAGAGAGAGAGAACAGTCTCCAACCTCACGGCTGGCCTCATGGTACTACCATCGATAGGATAAGCAAAATCGAATGAATCTACCGCTAGAACATGGAAATATACACTGCCAGAGTCGAACCTCTCACCACGAAACAAAAAAAAAAAAAGACGGCCGCGAACAAAAAACCTCAAAATCGAATGAATCTTCCGCTAGAAGGGAATGTACACTGCCAGACTCGTTTCTATCGTCGCCCGCCACGAAAAGCCAAAAAAGAATCCGAAAAACGGCCGGGCACGAAAAGGCAAAAAAAGTATCCGAAAAATGGCCGGACTCGAACCTCTCAACACAAAACTATAAAAAAAAAAGACTGCCGCGAACAAAAAAACGCACTGGGCCCACGGTGCGCCGGGCCCGTGCGGGAAAAAGGTCTCAGCGGGACGCGTTATGCGAGACCCGCTACTCCCTTTAAGAAGAGTATAGACAATTGCTAAGAAGAAGTCGGAGAAGTAATTGGAGGTCGGAGATGGTGGTGAGATGAAGGGGGATTAATATTGGTCTTTGCTGGTGTACATTTCATCTTCTTCTTCCACTCTTATTTCTCCCTCTTCCTTTGCCTATTTGTCTTTCCGAGTTCTTTGATTTCAGTTGCAATTGAACGGCGAAGTGACAATAATCATGTAAATAAGAAGCATGGTTGGCTCCTGGTATGGTTACAATGTAGTTTCAAGAATAGGCATCTGAGCCAGCTGATGGATGCTTCTGTCCAGATGTTGGCAGTCTTTCTTTGAGTTGTTGCACGTCAAGACAGCCAGGATCGTAACACTTTCAAACAACAAATTTGTAAGGCGTATGTTTTATAAGTCCACACACAACACCTGGACAGAAGCATCCATCAGCTGGCTCAGATGCCTGTTCTTGAAACTAGATCGTACCAGGAGCCAATCATGCTTCTTATTGTTTTGGCGAGCATGCTGCAAGGGGATGTGGGTATGTTCATTAATCGTTATCTGGAATTGTGCATGCAGGCACTGCAGGAAATGGGTCGTTGGCTTAGAGAACAAGCTGCCATGTATGCAATGACACGAGGGAGACAAGTGCAGGCTACACCTCCTGTGCAAGAAAAGTGGAGAGAAAAGTGTGGCCATGCAGCTAATCTGTTTTTGGACCTGGAGGTGGACTCACTATCAGAGCGTGACATGATCTTGCTGAGCAATATTGTGGAGACGTCATCCGCTGTGACTGACCCATCCATACGGCCACATTTAGAGAAGTTGGTGAACCTCATCGGCGTGGTCCACCACTACATTTTAGTCCAAGGTCGCGGAGACGTGGATCCTAACTCCGAGTGTTACAGCCCTCTGGCCCCCAGACGATGCCATGGAATGACACAGAGTGGAAATCGCTGCAAACTCACAGAGGAGTCAGTTTACAAGTTGCATGGAAGGTGTGCAGCAGCAGCTGTGCCACTTGCGAGAGAGGAAAAGTTCTGCTCCTTCCATCAAAACCAGGGGCTCAGGATGCCACTATGATCTTTGCCTGTCAGTGTGAACAGCGCTTGGGTGAATTGGCAGGTTTTTTTTGTTTTTTTTTTGTTAACACAGGCTGTCTTCTTCTCATCGGGGGACAGTTGCATGTACTATTCTATCTTCTTCTCTCATCATGTTTAACCGCACAGTATGTAATATACACTAGGCCAAGGAGACACTTCTAAGGGTTATGGGTCTACCAGACACTACCTGCTTTGCAGAACCACCTCTACTCTATGCGGAGAGCAGTATCCTAGCTCCTAAAACCTGGCGCCGGCTTGAAAGTGCCTAAATCGCTTCCACAACCAGCCAGGAGGCCCAAGCCAACCAACTCCGCTGGTGAACCCGAAACATACCCCAGGAGGCCGCCGGGGATGGAAAGGACGACGTTGGGTACCCAACCCACGACCTCCTGAGCGCCACTTGCGTGCTCAACCAACTGAGCTAGCCCGCTCGGGCAGGTAAATCGGCAGGGTTAGATTGTGAGGAGTCAGAAAAGTATGAGCCTCCGTGTAATGATTGCAGTGCAAGGCGTACATGGGAAAGAGATGTTCCTGGTCGCCCACTCAGCTAAGCCATTGAATCCAACTCAAAGAGAAAAATCTCAGGGCTCAGCCAGCACTGATCCGACAGTCTTCAGGAAGGTAAGAAAACTTTGAGCTTTTCAGAACGAGAAGAGTTATCCAATTGTCAAGAGACTGGGCTTTGCTAAAAGCGGAGAACACATTATATGCTCACTGTTAAAAAGCGGGTCATCACACAATCCAGAGAACAGGCATTGTGTGCTGTCAGACATCCAAGGAAATGGCTGCTGGCCTCTCTTGAAGATACAGCACACTGGCCTGGCCTGGCGTTGTATGGTCTTGTCAGCACTGGTGCCCAATCCGCCCTAGTGAGATGAACTGTTTCATGTTGGGTTGATTTGACTGAAACCAATGCAATTGGATCCGACGGCGCCAGAGCTGCTCTGTACTTTTCCAAACATATCATAGCCTTTGCAATCCAATCCCAAGAAGAATATAGTACAACAACATTAGCAGTGACCAGATCTTCTTTTTTTTTTTTGAAGAATTTAATTGTGTACTAGTAATGATGGAAATCGGGTCCAGTGTCCGTTACATCAAACATACTCACTCAATGCTTCTCCCTGTTATGGTCGGGAGATCCTGAGAGAGCGGCATTGACGACTACCCATTTGGGAGTATTTACCACTGGTCTATGCCTTTTTCCACGCTGTCCATGACTGAGATATTTCCTAGAAGATCCGACAGCATTGATTGCTTCCCCCTGGCCGGCAGTGGTGTCACAGTGGCGGTTTCGTTAAGGCGATTGTTTTTTTTTTTTTTTTTGTGTGTGTGTGTAAGGAAAATGAGAAACAGCGAGATGACAATTCCAGATTACACCAGCACATTGAAAGCCAGATAGTCACACCGTGTCCAGAGAACAGCATTGCACCAATAATACACCAATGGAGGTTCGTAGTACTGAAAACCAATGTCATGGAGAGCATACCCTCTCCTCATCAACACAAGAGTCCAGTCCCTTCACACTCCTACTTGGCGCTCAGCGCCCAGCCTACTCCTATCACAGTAACTACAGCCTACTAATTGACAACGCAACTGTTGACATCAGCAGCAACCCGAAGTACTTGAAGATGTCGCCCATGCAGACCATCGCCAAYACAAGGTAAGTGCCCTCACATCATCATCATCATCATCCTTCACCTATCCCCTGACTTAACACCCACGTCTGTCCTCTCTTACACCCGAAGACCGCCCCTGCGCCTCACTGTAGTCCAAGCCCACCAGCTATGGTGGCTGGGCTATGGCGCTGCCCTCAGCAGCGCCCTTTTTCCCTGCACGACCGCACGTGCTGCACCTCGCCTCTCAGCGCCAGCCAGCAGCCGCGAGCTCTTGCTCCAGCAGCGCTGCCGCTAGCATGCGAGT